CTCGTTATGACTCCATTTGTAGATTCTTAATAAGTATGACTTTCCTTAGACTATGAAGACTGTTGGCAAAGATGTGGGATTTGCATTAAGACTGGATTTAGAATTAAACAAGAGCTCAAGTACTGGGTTCATGAATTGGTGTAGAATTTTCATTCAAGTTCAAGTCTGAGGTTCCTGAAAACTGAGGAAAGTTTTGCAAAAAGAAAAAACATTCTTGGTTGTGGCTGAAGTTTTGGCTTTAGATTATAACCAAATGAAAAACATGTAGAGGTCAGTCTCAATCCAAATCAAACTTCCATTGAAATTGAGAGGTATATCAGATTTATATTCTGGCCTACTTACATGTGATCTTACTTTGTTCTAGCTCATTTCTGTCATGTGTTTTAAGCACTGCAGGCAGTGCTGCTATATTCCAGCAATGCTAAGCTATCTGCTGGTGCTTTCAAGCTATGAGGTTGCATTGACTATTATGCAGCAAGCCTTCTGCACTGCATGCTGCCATAGTGTAGTCACACACTTGCTGACCCCCTTGGAGAATCCAGCAGATGCCCTTCTGGCAGCAGTTTAACCTGACCTTGCACACAGTCATTCCTCGGCTGTCTCTGGGTTTGCAATGAGTGGTGGCAAGACTGAAAAGAGCAGAGCTGATTAGGGCCCCGGGCAATCTCATGTCCGAACCCTGTTGAGATTTACTCCTGTAAAGTGTCAATGAATATTTTACTGGATTTACTAGGGGAAGAGCAGTGGGCAGATTTAGGCTTGGGATACTGCTAAACTTTCCTGAGCTTTGCTGAAAAGGCACCTCTGTGTGCATTTTCCAGACACTACCAGCCTCAAATTCATGGGACGAAGGTAAAGTCTCTGTTAGTAAACTTTCTGAAAAAGTGCCATGCAGCCTGATAAGTTTCTTTAACAGCAACAATCATTAAAAAGCCATTTTAAAAAGTCTGCAATGCAGAAATACATTGCCTAGGTTGTCTGCGTGTGTGTGTACCCTGTTTTATGCTGCAGCTGCTGAGTTGCACAATCCAGCCATAATATTGCAGCGATGCCTGTAAAGCTTTTGTAGATACTTAGCTCCCCTTCTCCTCTTACTCCTGTTGTCCATGGTCCTTTTATCTCCCTTCAGTTCATCTGTTGTGTTTCCTTCGCTCCACCAGAGTGTTCAAAAAGTAAATAAATTAAATTTCTCTCTCTCAAGTCATGTTTCAAGACTCAGTCTTACTTTTGAGGAGCTCAGTATTTCAGTTATCCAAGATAAGGGCTGAAGCTACCAGAGAACCCCCCTACCATCCCTCACCTGTGCAGGAGGGAGAACTTGTTCCAGTACTGTCTTGTGGATGAATCTGCGCTTTGACAGGAGACCTCTGAGTGACTGCTGGCCCAGGTCGGAAAGCCCACAGGGTGCAGCACATCCCTTTGCAGCTCATTTTTGAAAGCAGTACAGTCATGCTTGCTTGCTCTTACCCCTCAGCTGATGAACTTGCCTCTGTAAGACAGGCTGAAAGCAGAGGGAAGAGCTTTCTCGTGCTATTTGGAGACTGTAGAAAAAGGATTCACCCTTTTTCTGCTAAAGATGTTGCAGAGTATCACCACTCTCCACTCGGAGTACTAGCAGCACATCTTCAGCCTACCTTCTCTGTTTCAAAAAAGAGAACTCTGTAAATTTAAGTTACGCTCCATACCTGACATAACCCTGATCAGACCCTATAAAACCCAGTACCTTTGGAGGCACCTAACCTCCTGTTTGAGCAGAGGGTGGAAGAGAATGACCTACCCATGAGAGAAGCAATTGATGCCTGGCAGGGTGCTCAGAAGCTGTGGTGATGCAGCAGGGACTCAGGGGTGTCTTGCTGTCACTTTGTTTTGGGACACTGTTATACTGAGATGTAGCACTAGATGGTGCATTCTACAAATTATTTGAAGAGACTGATCTTCCCATGCCAAAACCTTTTGGCTCAAGGCTGACTGTAACAAGCTCATTTGCTGTGTACGCACAGTACATCCTTTCATAACTTTTCATGAAGTTGACCCTTCCGTGCAAGAGTTGAATACAAACACGGCTGCCAAGACAGCACTTGAGACTTTGGCATTTATGCCTGTAGGTTTGGGGGATTTTTTTTTGCCCATCACAGATCTTTGGCTAATTCACAAGTCACTTAGAAACAAGCAAACTGTAATGGCATATTGAGTTTGAGGGATGCTTGAGTTTGGATAGAAGAAAGATCTGTTAGAAAATATCTGGTATTCCTTATTAACCTGCATGTCCCATATCCCATCAATCTAGGTGAATTAGATGGAACTGAAGATCTGCACATATTGATTTATATGCTGGAGAATAAATATTGATTTATTTGCCCCATAGCCAGATACCTTTGCCATAGGGCAGCAATTCTAAGGAGGAGTGATGACTTCCCTTCTTCTCCTCAGAAGGGAGGATTAGCCTGCAGGCAGGCTTGTGGGACAGTGCATAACAGGCAGAGACTCCTATGTCCAGGGGATTAGCTCCTGCCCTTCCTTGTGGGTGTATGGAAGCCCTTATGTGTTCAGGATTTGAGGCACGGGAGTAGGCAGCACAATAAGCAGCACAGACGTTGCCTGGAACTGTTGACACCTTCAGCAGGGAGCTCAGAAGAGCTGTCTGGGTTGGAGGTGTGGGCTGTGGGTGTGCTCTGGGAGCTGATGGTTTGCAGACCCCTCTTGCAGGTAACAGTGCTGAAGTGCGTCCTGCTCCTTTGGGAGTCTTTCTTTGGGACGCATATTAGGGCAGCAATCACTAGGTGGTGCAGTTACACACCGAGCTCACACTTTCTCTTGGTATTCGCACACTTTCAGGCTCTGGAGAAGTGGTTCTTGTTAGGGTTGGGTTTACGGTACCTCTTTGAAAAGCCGCTGAAACAGAGAAAAGTAGCAGGCAGCAGTAGCTAGCTGGGAGCAGTGTAGCTTCTTCAGACCCTCGTGTCTGTGCTTGGGCTCAGATTTCTGGAGGAAGAGACTGACACACAGGTAGCACCCACCCTCTTCTTAGAAGTGTGTGTGCTCAAATCCAGCATCCTTCCCCACTGAAAACTCAGGTTTGAGGACCCTGGATTTCTGTTTCCTCTGGAGTGACAGCAGTGTGCCAAGGCACGGCATTCTCTTAGTTTACATGGAGAAATTCAGATGAATTTCACAGAAAGGGAAATCTTAGGAGTTGTCTTCTAGTGGATAAGTGGATAAGTAAAATAATGTCAGAAGAGATTAGGAATTTCCTGAATGTGAATTCTTTAGAAAACAACTGGCTAAAGTTGCAATTGATTTCTAAACTTTTTCTTATTTAGAGAGACTTTTAAGCATTTTAGATCTCAAATTTACTTTCTGATTGGCTTGGAACTTCTATTTTTGGTATTATTTAAAATAAATATGCCTTGACTGTTTCCATTTATTAAAAATTGCTATAGTTTAAATGGAAACACACACAGACATGTGAATATGTTGTATTTATTTTGGTAGTTTCTATATATTATACAACTGTACACATAGATCCCATCATTCTGGTCTCACACCAATAGTAACTTTAGGAGATTATTGGGAAACCAGGCCTTGAAACTCATCATTAACAGAAAGCAGAAACCCAGTCTATCCTTCTGTTAGCAACTAATTTCTGGTAAGCCATCTGACCTTTCTTTTGCCTTTTACGTCCCACTGTTTGCCTTGGTTGTCTGGTTTAGGCCTTCATCCTTCAGATTTTTACTACTCACTGCATATGTAACCGTGTATTTTAATATTTTCAGGGTAGGGCCTTAGACCTTTCCAACCAGGAGGAAATTATACTGAATTAGCTATACTGATTTAGAAATTGACTTAGTTAAATCAGTGCAACTCTCCTGAGCACTTTATATCACTTCAGTTTAAGTCATGAGTCAGTGAGTAACAAATCAATTCTGTTGGCAGAGAGTGAGAAAGATTAGACTGGATCTTCAGCCCTTCTATCTCAGTATTTATTAGGCTAAGGCCTCTTCAGGGCTTGTTGCTGTTCTCTTTAATTTTCTCTGCCTAATGGACCTGATCCAGCTCTTGATGGCATAAATGAGGGTTTTTCTATGACCTCCAGCTGGGAGCTGGGGGTGGCAATATCTTTATTAAACACCTAGAGAAGCTTCAAATGACAAATAACTCAAACCTGCCTCCTCACTGCATACAGAGTTCTCAGATTGTGGCTCACACTGCAGAAATCACCTCTGCTCTGAAAAATGTAATATTCTACATTCAGGGTAGGAAAATTCATCCTCTAAAGACAGCTATCTCTACTAACATTATGCTAAGACTATCACCATGCAAAGATTCATAATCTGATTCGATTTTCCCAACAATAGCAGATAAGTAAGATCCCATATATATTTTGAGATGGGATGAAAATAGTCCTTCTGTCAATCTCCACAGAATTTGTGCATTCCAGTTGGATAGACTTGGGATTCAGGTTATTTCTGGTTTTGTACCGGCTTAACCAGAAACTCGGCTGATGTTGCACTCCCAAATGAAAAAGCACAGCTTTTTCAAAATGCATTTCAGAAAGTGCTTGCTTTTGTTGTTGTTGTTCTCCTCCTCTACCTTTCTTCAGACTTTGACAAACTACTACTAATAAATAAGAAGGGTATCTGAGAATATGCTGAACAAGAATATGCTGAGTTCCACTCACTGAAAATTTTCCTTACTGTTCCCAAAGCTTCTTATTCCTGGCTGTAGAGAGTAGCAGTGTAGCAGGAGCTGAACTCTTAGAGTGTCTGCCTATTCCAGAAAAGAGTAACTCACTTCTTTACAAATCTAAGATTTTGCAAAGTCATTTTTATCTTTCTGAACTGGATGTTAATAAAGCTGTAAACTCTGTAACCAGCAATGTGCTGACATGCTCTTACAATTCACCTGCAGCTCCTGGAAGCCTTTGTGTTGTAAGTAGCGATGCCCCCTTCCATTTCCATCTCTATTCCAAATGCAATTTCTTGTTTGTTTATTTTCCAGGTTTATGATGGAACTTACATCTTTGCCTAAATTCCTTTGGACAACTGACAACAAACTTCTTCATCACCATTTTCCGGACATATTGGCGACTGTTCATACCACACAAGACATTCCCGAAGAAGTTGTTTTTGGACCATGCATGCTCCAGAACACCCTGCTGGACACTGTAGCTTTTATTGCTCTGAAGTGTTCTGATAGACGGAACATCCACTATGTCTTTAAGGTAGGAGGAAGCAGCATTTAATGTCAGTCATATCAAAAAGGGTTACACCATCGCCGAGAAGGTAACTTTGCCAAGGGGTAGATTTTTGTTTCGTTCAGCACAACTAACAGGTCCTTCAAAGGGGAGAAGTAGCCAGTGCATTTCTGATTTATGAGCTGTAGACTGGAGGGACCTCCGTGAAAACTGTTTCCTTTGCAGGAAGAGTACAAAGTCCCACTTCTAGGCTGATGATGGATGACCTGCTTCAGCACTGACTGGAAATAGGAGCAAGGAGGGACAAATAGTTTAGAATCTTCATGCTCAGGTTTCATCCTTACAAAGGAGGCTTATCAGGAGGTGTGACAGCCCTGTGAGAGCAGAGAGGGAAGACTGTGGCATTGCACTGATTGATGTAGGTGGTACATTCACAGCATTTATTGACAGATCTGAGCAAGTGTTAACTCAGTTTGCCCAGTTATCCATAAAAGTAAAATCACAATAGCAGTGATGTCAGCACAGGTTCTATCAACTGTAGAAGATATCAGTCAGGCAACTAGTCTGCACAATCTTCAGGCAACCACAACTTATTGCTATTAGTACATGGACCTCCTGAAGTTACCTTAGATATGTCTGTCTGTGTTACAGCTGCACTTTTCAGTCACTGTAGAGAAGCCACAGAGATATGTCTGTGAAACAGAAGGAACTGTCATGTAGGGCAAGTCAGAAACCCCAGGACTGTGATGGATTGTTAAGTCTCCAGCTCTAGTTGGAACTTTTTTGTTCCCTAGCTACTGTTTATCATAAGATTTCATTTGGACAATGCATATTTCTCATGCTGGCCTCTTACTTTGGCTTTCTGGGTCTTGGAGTGCATTTTAATCACCATTGGTCTAGATGAAGACAGGGAGGTAGTGTTTTACAATGTGAGGCAAGTGAATTTACCACATGCTATGGCATGGATGGATTTGGGAGAGATCCAGGTTCTCCTAAGATTTCTGTGCTCTGGAGGAGACAAATCCTAGGGAGTATGTGTAATATGGAAGATGCAGCTGTTGGCAGATACCTGTTTGACACTTTTGCTTTAAACAAGTTAAGAAAGAGAAGAAAAGTCTTTAGGGTTTTTCTGACTATTTGTTTGAGTCTCTGGCACAAGTTTGCATGCTTGGACAGTGCTATTAGTACTCCAGGAGAACTACAAGCTCTTTGGAGAAAGACCTCTCCTGAAACGAGGCTTTATTTATGGAATATTTCTGTATTTCTCCTGGGAGTTTTGGAATGAATGTAGACTCAAGAGCGAGCCTCAAGGGGTTTCTACATTGGAAGAGCCCTCCGAAGGAATGGCTTTAGTGTTTTGCTACGTTTGAGCTAAGTCATTGTTATGAAGCCATGAAATTGGATGCCTGAGTTGGCTCAGATCTCTGTCTTTTGGCAGTAAATACCTCAAATTCTGTGCAAGTAGCTGTTTCAGATGCAATTGGTGGTCCCATATCCTGTTAGCTACTCATAATTAAAAGTAAGCCTTCCAGAAATCAGGAACTATTGTTAAGCTCCCAACACTGTGTGTAGACAATTAATTAACAATTCAATCATGATACTATATTGTTATCAAGGCACTGAGGTGCAAAAGAAGAAATGGATTTTGTTATGCTGGCTATGGTACAAACAGAATTACAGGCAGGAATAATTAGGCAAGGTGGATTCTTCGCAGCTGAGGTTCATGATCATCATAGCTCGGCAGCACTCCTGCAAGACTTTGGAGAATATTATTTCTAACAAGGGTTTCCTCGTCTTGGGCTTTTATGTTTAGTCCAAAAGGGAGCTCTATGTTTTTTCTGTCATCCTCTTGGAGACCCTAACTTGAGCTCCTTGGGCCAATTTGTATTCTTGGGCAAAGAAAATGCCTTGGCAACCATTGGCACTGGTGGTTCTTTCCAGCCAGCCATTTACTCCAGCAAAGCAAACCGACCCCTTATAAAGCTGTATGTCCCACTGAGTTCCTCCACCCCTTACAGCTTCTTGTGGGTTCCAAGGAAGAGTCTTATTCTCTCCCTTCTCCTCCAGCCTCTATCAAGGAAGCCACATCAAGGAAGCCCAGCTGTGAAGCCTTTACCTCTTACATGGGTGCAAAGGATTCATCTGAGGGATTGCCATCACCAGAAGAGGGTGGACTTGTAGGGTTTGTAGTGTGTCTAAACACATGGAAAAACTAAAGCTGGTGCATGCTTCTAGTTGACGGCACCCAATTCTTATGTGCTGTCCTTTACTCCTCCCCACCTTCTTTAAGCTCTCTCAGCTCTTTCCCTGGAGTCCTGGTTCCTGGAGGAGCTGTGTTCCCTTTGACTTTGCTTAGAGAGCTGGGTGGATGCTCAGTGTTTCTGAAACACAGAAACTAACAAATGACAGCCTCTGTCATAGCTATTAGTTACAACCACTGTGGGTGGGTGGGTGTGCTTGTGTCGCTGTCAGACTTTTGTATTTCTCAATCATTGTTAATTACCATGGCGTTTAGAGAGAACCAGTTACAGGGCATGCTAATTTATTTTCTCCCTTATACTAATTAACTCTTATCCTAATGGTCCCTTAATGGGTCATTCTTGTTTTCAAGCTACTAATGTGGTCATGCTTTTCATGGTAGGTAATAGTCAGGGAGAGCTAAAAACAGAGAAAGAAATACCCCAAATACTGTTTCTGATACCAAACACCAATGAATGGCTGCCCTGCAATTAGTGGGAAACAAAGAGCTATACATTGCTTGGGGTGAAATTTAGATCATACTTGTCATTAGACATTTTTCATTTCCAAACTTCCTTTCTAAACAATGACTTAGTCCTTCAAAAATTAGTTGAGGCTTTTTATACATGTAAATGTTGCCCTTGAACGCCCTGTGTTTCAGCCTTCAAGCTATGAAAATCTTCCCCATGTTTCAAATACTGCAGAGGACATAGATGTGCTGTGGTAAACACCAAGGAAAAACCTATAAAGAAATAAATCATTCCCTATTCAGAGCAAATGCAATAAAGTAACTAAGATGGGAGCCACACACTGAATGAGGAAGACAGAGCCAAATGTTTTATAGTTATATTATTTCCAGAGCATGGTCAACCTGTGACTAAATGACTCAGGAGTCCTATGGATAAAGGAGTGTATGTGACTGTGGACAATGCTGTAATATATACACAGAAGGGAAATTTAATTTGGGCAGTAGACTTAATATTATTTTTTAACTTCTGAGTGCCTGACCTTGCAACCTAAGCAACATGTTTTATCTTAATCTGTTTGGTATTTCTGAATGCACGCATACTAAAAGTGAATTAACCCCTTGCAACTGTCAGAAATAATTTAATAAAAAATATTAATCTGATGAGTTTTTATCTGTTCAGATACCTTGAAATGAATTTAGTTGATTTATCAAAGGCAGGAATAGGAATATATAATTTTACTTCTGAAAAAGGAAAGAGCATATAAGTGGGAAAAGCATATAAGTGGAAAAGGAAAGCATATAAGTGCTTCTTAGTTGTATTTATTCAAATCTAATTTTTATGTAATCTAGCCAAACAGTTATATATGCAGATGTTGTCTCCTTGGGGTGTTGAATCAAATAACCGAGATTATTCTTACAGCTCCTGATCCATATCCTCTTACATCATTGAAAAACTCCACATGCAACTGTGTTCATTTCTGGGCTCACACTGCACCGATCCAGGAGTCTGCACATCTCACACCCCCCAGACCACAGCACTCGCACCTCTCCTGACTCATATCCCTTTTTCCCTTGGGTTTGAGACCCCCAACTTACAGAGGAGCACACCTTCTGTACCTCTGTGATCCACACCTGACACAGTCCCATGGGACAACCTGCATCGGACAGAGGACATCATCCTTGCCATGAGTGGGCTAGAGATTGACCAACGTACCAGCCCTGGTATTACCATGAGAGGTTACATGTGAACATCGGTGTCTCCTTCTCCCTCCGATGCAGCTGTAGTCCCAGAGCTCTCAGCACTCACACCAGGGAAGCCTTCCCGCTGTGATGGCTTTGGATTTGGTGACACTGGCATATAAATTGGGCTCACAGCTTTGGCATACTGCGTCTGTGTGAGGCAGAAAACAGGCTTTATTCTTGAATTTGATGGAAACCTATTTTGGGTCCCAAGACCTGAAACTTCCCTTTTTTGTGTCCTGTCTCACAGGTAGACGTTAAGTCTGTGCACAGTCCCACAGGACTGCCTTGGATGAGACTTGTACAAGCAGCTGCCAATAGCAAGGAGCAGAACTTGGAAGCTTACTTAGAAAACAGTCAGTTATATTATCGCTCTACCAGGAAGATCAATAAAAATGAGGAGCTGCTTGTCTGGTATGATGAGGAGCTTTCCTGCCTCTTGGGTTTCAATGAGATAAAAGCACAGAGTCTACAGAATGGTAAGTACCAAACTGCTGACTGCAAGGGTCACTGAGGACTGAAGTGAGTCTGCAACTTCTTTAGTACATGGTGATCTTGTAATACAGGAAATAAAACCTGTCTAAATCCTTAGCCAGTCAGCTAAGAAAAAAGAGCTTCTGCTTTGGCATTTGAGCTGGAGGCATAGAGCAAGAAAAGATTTGCACTTCTCAATGCCATTTTCATTGCTACTTTCCAGCAGAGGATGGTGTGCTAGGGATTAATGCTGAAATTTTTGAGCTGTGTAATGGAAGTCTATGTACCTGACCACCTTGGAATCCTAGAAGCCTAAAATATCACCTGGAAATACGCCTTTTTTAGCTCATTGAGGAATCAGGTATAGGCTAGTGTTCAGCTATAATCTTGTAAATGAGCAGGGCTATAAAATTCCATATCAGTCCAAACAGTACTGCATATAGCACAGTCTGCCTATTTAGCGTGGGACACAGTGGGAAAAGGGCATGATTTTAATTCTGAGATGTTGCTAGAAATTTATTGCTCTAATATAAATTGACTTGGCAATTGTTGAAAAAATTAAAATCTAGAATACAGAGAGACCAAGCAAATCACTGTCAGGTCCATGCCAAGGTTGGCTCCAGCTGTCATTTGCTCCAAACTTTGATCTAGTTAGACTGGAACAAAACTCTTTCTACATTCCCTTTGGTTGATTTAAACATAGCTTGTATAGGTTGATTAGTAAAGGTGTAGGTTGGTAAAGGTATGAGTTGGTAAATTTATATGGTAATGTATTTGCCTGTAAATTAATATTAGATTAACATAGACACATTCGTAGCAGGAACCCACTAAATCATTTAAACTGATTTCAGTGTATTCTGTTAGCTTCTGTGTAGACACACACGGTTCCACCCCAATGAGCAGCTTTGTTTTCTTGTAAAAAGTTCAGTTCTGTAGTTTGGGAAGTGATCTAAGCTGTGCTGAGCCTACAAATTAGGGGTTTGTAGTTCTACACAACCAATGTATGAACTTTCCTATGTATCCTGGGCCTCAGGTGCTGTGTGGCATCATTTGCATTTAAAACCTGCTGTGTGTTGTGAAATAACATAGCATGGATACTGTTTACAAAGGTTAAGATGTGCCATATGTGTCTTGGTCACTGGATTATATACCGTCAATTCATGGACAATCAATAGTCCCAATGAACCAGAGATGCAGTCCCTCTGAAGGCCAGAAGAAAACAGTGTTCCCCATTCCTCCTGCCCATTACTGGTATTGTTTCACTTTGAACATTACTTTCTGTGCCACAGGCATCTGTGCCTTATGGCACATAGCAGATTGCCAAATGAGCATGAGTAAGGGCTTCAGGCATTATTGTCAGATGATTTGTGAAAGGTGTTAAACTTCCAGAGTGTCCTATGCAGGAAACAGAGGCTCGTGTCAAAATCTTTTGAGTCCAGGTCTAAAACACATTATTACTTGGGTATATAGAATTTAACATTCAGCCTGTATTAAAGCCAGTGACTTAGGAAATGTAGACACAAATCTGGGTTCAGATTTCAAATTGTCATAAAGTCCATATGCTTTTATCTAGACCATTGTGTTCTGGCCATTTACATAATACAAACTTGGCTTGAAAGTCTAAATGAAAGCATTTCTGCGAGTAATGCATGGAGGCAAATATGAGTGAACCATTTTCCATAGTAGCAAGGGACCTGATTCTGCACTGGCATTACCTTTACTGTTTGTAATCTTGTATGACACAAGAGATGTTTCTGGTTTTTTGTTTGTGTCAACGGCAGGGTCGGGATCTGCATCCATCCATGATTCCACCTTTGCAAAACTCATCATCTGTTGTCTCTTTCTGCAGAGTTGAGATGCCAAGAATGCAACCGAATCTTTAAATGTGAGCATTCCTATCTCTCCCATGTCCGCTTCCTATGTGTCCCAGAGAAGAGCGCCCTGCTATGGAGAAACTTCCAGAACCCTAAGACTGAAAAGAACAACTTAGCTGAGCAGACCACGAATTTCCACAGCCTGGCAAGGGATCTAGAGGTCAAAATGGCAGCTTGTGAAGATGATGCCCATGGTCTCACAGGAGAAAGGAGAGCAAAATCTGAAGAGGCTGAGAACAACAGGAGCAGGAAAACAGTGTTGTTGGAGAAAACCAATAATCTAAGTGAGGAACATAACTATGGGGGCAAGGAAGAGGTTGGGGGAGAGCATGCATTGGCTGGGTCTTTCTGGAAACTTAGTTCAGGGAAGCAGTCAGCTAGGAAGGATGCTTTAGAGCAGAAGCAGAGTGCTTTCACTGAGGTCAGGAGGATGAAGGAGAAGCTGAGGAATGAGAGACCGAAGGAGTCAGAAGAGGAGGATGGCATGGACCCACTTGGTAAAAAGCAGGTATCAAAGGAAGTGTTGCTGAACTCCTCCAGTAGTGCATTCTCCTTTGTGTGGCCCACCAGAGCCCCAGGAGAACAGAAGAGTGCTTTCAGCAAACCCAGTAAATGTCTAACAGAAAGAGCTGCAATAAATTCTTCTCATCCCATGAGTGAGTCACCAAAGAGCCTGGGGGAGCTGTCTGGCTTCATTGCCACCACAGACATCATGTACTGCAGCACGCTTCTCAATTCCAAGTTCTTTGTCAGTGATTTGTGTAATGCTCAGATGCTGCAGACAAGCATCACTCAGAGCAATGTTTTCCCATATACCTCAGAACCGTGGCCCAAACAAGCAGGAGGGCAGTTACAAAACACAACCACCACTTCTTCTTCCTCCTCCTCCTCTTCCTTGACTCTTCTTCCCCCTACTTTCACATCCTTTGGAGTGGCTGCCCAGAACTGGTGTGCCAAATGCAACCTGTCCTTTCGCATGACATCCGATTTAGTCTTCCACATGCGGTCACATCACAAAAAAGAATACTCCTCAACTGAATCCCAGTGCAAGAGGAGACGAGAGGAGAAGCTAACATGTCCCATTTGTCACGAGTACTTCCGAGAACGCCATCATTTATCCCGGCACATGACTTCTCATAATTAGAGCTGTGCAGACAGATCTCACCAAGGGACTGGGCAGGTTGGGTAAAGGGGTAAAGAAGGGAAATGTAGTTCACTTGTATCCATTTCTTTTTGAGTTTACATTAATTTCTTACAGGAAATCAGTGTTTACAATAATTTATAATAGATGCTTTGCAAAAAAATATAAAATGTTTACAAGAGTCTGAGTGGGTTGTAAGTTTTGAAAACTCAACCTAGCCCTTGTCAATCTATTTTTGAGGAAATAAAATAGTGAAATGAATGCACATGCAGTATTAATTTGCAAAGAGTTGGGAACAAAATCATTGTTTTTCAAACAGAGTTTTCTTTGCTTGTATTTGATTTGCTGGTGTCTGTGCAGTACAATGTAAATACAGAAGTAACAACCACCTCATTGAAGAAGGAATCTTTAAGCAAAAAAAAAAAAAAAAATCAGAGCTTATATGCTAAAAAAAAAGCAGTTACTGTTTCTAGCAGCTTTGATGGACTCTTACTCCTTTATGTTAGCTGAATAAGTTCTCTTATCAGATTTGTGAATCTGAGTAAAAAACTTACATGTCACTGTCTCCTTGGCTTTGAAAGGGATTTGAAGTTAAGACTCTGTCTGAAATTTGTGATCATCAACAACTGACCAGTATACCTCTAAAGAGGATGTGACTTGTAGATCAGTATATCTGAGTTCTGTTCTAGGATCTGCCACTTTTGAAATATCTTTTACAAAGTCAAATCAACCTGTATCTGTATCAAAATGTGACCTGTTGTCAATGTTACTGTGTAGACAGAGTGCACAAATTCTGCTCTAATGTGTGCTTGCAAGATCTGCGTGACTTTAGTAGGCATACAGATCCGGTGGGGCTAGAGTTTGGCCTGTGGCTTTCGGGTTTTGGATATCCTAAAGGAAGCAACTAGAGGATTTGAGTTACTATTAGCTACTGATAGATAGAGTCTGCACACTTTAATTGTGGATGATAGGCTCTGTTCTGCTAACAGCTAGAAGAAGAACGTCCTTCACCAAATCACACAGGCATACATGAATTGCATTGCGTTAGACCAGCTTGTCTATCCTCTGGTTTCTACATGGGCCAATTCCAGCTTTTTTTAAAAGAAAGTGCCAAATTCTCTCTATAGCCTGTCCATATGAGACATTTTTCTCTTACCTACGTTGGTTTGAGCTCTGCTTAGTCTGAAAAGCAGATGAGTTCATACTGCTCTGTGTGAGTGTGTGGAAGTAACAATCCTGTCTATTGTTACTGCAGCTCATTTAATTAGCCTTTCATTACTTTTAAAATCCATTTAGAGGCTTGCTCTTCATAGCTTATGACAACGTGTTCTTCAAGTGAGCGTTTATCTCTCTCTTCTTGTATAGTACTTTTTCAGGTTGTCTGATGTTTTTTTGTGGCCTGCCTCTGAGCCTCATCTGCTATCTCTTCCTTTCAGAGAGGGAATTATCAGAAGCCACTCATTTCCCAGCTAAGAGTAAAGGACATTGCAATATGCTCCTTATTATTTTCCACCATACTGATGATATAGTCCAGTGTTTGTCTGCTGCACGCTGGACAGAAGTTTTCTTTGAGTTCCATGGTGATGCCTAGGCTGATAATGCAAGTATCAGCAAGTAAACACATCTTGGTGATAAAAGACAGCCTGAGGGTCTTAGGCTGTCAGTTGAGATCAACATATTACACTCATTGTCATCTCTTGGGAGATTTCTATAAGTCAGGAGACTGTATTCTTCCCAATATATTGCTGTTGAACATTAATACGTGGCTGTTTCCTATTAACATAAACATTTGATTTATTGCAGGCCAACCACTGGCTGTGCACCCCAGCTTTATTTTCCCAACATAAAGTGGTTAAACTGTTACATTATGCCTTTGAGTTCAGAAGACATAAATTGAGACTGGAGGTCTGGTTGGATTGTAACACAGCTTTCCAAGGTCAGTGGTGGAAGCTCTTCCACTGGAGTCATTAAATACCAAAATGAACAAAAACTTTGAAATATGGAGCACAGGGAACAACCTTGCATTGAGCAGGGGATGATGTGGTTTCCTTCTAATCTTTCCATCTCTATTTTGTGTCCAATAACATTTACTGTGTAAGGAATATATTTATGGCAAGGTTTAATGGGCCAAATTTCACTCCATCTGGTTTTATCTGGGTGGCAGCCAGTTTACTGTGAAGTCAGTGTCCATAAAGTGTAATGAAGGACTCCATGGTGTAACTGCATTCATATGTGGCTAGGTTTATAGTTCCCATCAGCAGCTTAGGCCAGATTGTGATCTCATTTATTCCAGTGCAAATCCAGAATAATTCCATGTTGCTACTCCTGATTTACATCAATTATTTTAAGATCAGCCTGGCCCAGTATAAATAGGACTAAAGATTTTTTGGTACCATTGCTGCAAAATGTTCTCTCCTGTACTTACTGAAAGATGCCATGTTTTCTTAACAGTTTTATGGTTAGAAACCTAGCTTCAGATTTCTTCTGGAAAAAGACAGGACCAGCTGCATAATGCTCCCCAGTATTATGCTGGCACATCGCTTCAACAGTACCCTGCTCCAAGGGCCTGTTTTTCAAGCACGCTACACCTGGCATATCATTTAGATCAGAATGAAGCAGTACCAAATCTAACCGGTTACGTGTTTTCTCTGATTTTGTGTTGGTGTAAGTGAGCTTGAGAAAGTGTGGAAAACCAGCCACTGAAAACAGCTGCTGAATCTCAAAACCTCTTCCAATGGTGTGTTAGATCTACATCCTTAGAGGTCTCACCAGTAATCAAACTTCTTCACTCTGCTTATAGTATGAGGCTTAAGCAAGCAGCAAGGCTAGAGGGAGAGATAGATTTCCTTTATGTCATGAAGTTGTTTTCTCTGGGGAAAAAAAAATGTAAGAACTCTTACCCAGTTTCTTTGTGGGCATATCTCAGCCACAGCAACTTACATACTGTGATGACAAGCAATGTATAAATGCCTTCTGTGCACAGAAAGGCAAGAGAACCAGTTATGAAAAGTGGCAGACCTGATGCAAAATGTAAAAATGAAGAGGAGAGGTTTTTGATCAGCTTTATTTCTGGTACTGTCCTCACCTCCAGCTGCAGGGGCAGTGCAGTTTGGTCCTAGCATGTAAAGATTGGGGATTTTCCTCTTGCAACATGGAACTGCAGGCAAATGTGTGCAATACTGCCCTTACTCCTTTGCAGGTGGCCACTGGCATAAAAATTGAGTGAACAAATTGCTTCTTATACTCTGCTAAAATGTTTTGTGAACTAAGACTTGTTTACACACCCAACTGACCAATATGACATCTTGTTGCCTGCTATACCTGTGCTGACATAAGAGCAAAACAGATGCCAACAGAACCAGAACTTGATTCCCTATGTGTAAAACGAGCTCTTGTGTAAAGCCCCTTGTGCAGGCAGAGGGAATATCTTTTATGTGTCTCAGGTTTAACTGAGTGTCTCATCTAAGCTGGGTTACATAAACCAGGGGGCTTATCCAAAATTTTTGCAGATTTTATTTCTTTAAATGAAAGTATTCTATTAAAGCTGAGTGAACCAAGTATTGCACAGGCAGAAGGAAGCCTAACGAGACAAAGAAAAACAAACTTCCTATAATTGAGTCATGCTGGAAGCTTTTTTTACCTTATGTCTAGAAGTCTGAACATTTACATTGGTGCAGATGAAAGGAAATCCTGCTGGAGGAAAGGCACTCCACTAGAGCAGGGGGGTTGTGAAGAAATGAAGGGACTTCAGGAATTCATGAAGGACTGCATTCTGTCCCAGTGCAATACTGTGATTTTACAGCAGGGATCTGTGTCTTTTCTACAAGTAGAAATGCTTGGAATTAAAAAAAAAAAATAGGATTTTGTTTTCTGAAACAGGAGGAGACAATCTGAAGTCAGCTGACTGGTTCTTTTCCTGTCTTTGCTAGCAACTGCCTGTGTCATTTTGATCAAACCACTGTTTCTCACAACGTCTGTGTCTGGGTCAGTGAAAAGGGACATAACACAATGCTGTCAAGCTTAGCTGTTCAGGCTGTGTATCTGCAGTGGGTTGTAAGTTTACTGGTAGGGAACGCTGGATTAGGATATTTGTTCATTCATTGATCCCTGAACTTTTTCCAATGAAGAAGTGTTTCTCCATCAAAACAGCACTTAAATACATTTTTGGAGACTATATGTTTACTTGCTTTTTGGGGGGTAATTTTTCATTAGTTGATGCAGTCTGTGGGCTCCCATTGGTCTAGAGAGCACAGTTTGAAAATCACTGGACTAAGGCAGCTTTTGTGGTATGATCAGGGGAGACTACATTAGAAGCACTCTCCAGAGAGCAAGAATACATCATTTTGTAGCAAAAAAATGAATAAGCTCGCTGCCGTTTCTTGATCAGGGTTCTGTGAATGGTAAAAGGAGAAAGATCATACTGCTTGGAGGCCTGATACACCAACTCCTTTCTTCCTGCCTTTAAAAGGAACATGATTAGGATGAAACTTTAGGAAGTTACTCTAGGTGGGATGATAAGGAAATGGTGCTATAAAGTGTTGAATGTCCATGTCAGCTCTGGAACCAGAAGAGAGAAGGATGACAGTTTCAGCATGTTTCCTGTTGTGTTGTGGAAGGGCACTTCTGAAATTCTTGTCCCTCCCTAAGAAAACTTCTAACTTTCTCATTTAAATCACAAACCATGGATTTTCCATAACTAATTTTCATTCATAGTTTTGTGATGTTCAAACCTTTCAATGCAGTCTAATTTTCTATACAATTACTGTCTGTAGTTTTGTGAGGTCTGTTGATAACACTGTGCTGTGGTCATGGTTTGGTTTGAACTCATAGTTTTAGTGGTCACTAGAAGCATCAAAAGTGCCAGGTGGAGCCAAACCTGGGGGACATATGTATGAAGTGGCCCCTACAGCTCAGGATTTATGTCTTCCTTGACACTGTAGAAGAAGGTGGAAGGTCCATACAGAAAGCAGCTATGGGGAAAAAAAAAAACTTGACCACATAGATGATAGCGATCTGCTTTAGTTCTCAAAGTGCAGGTTTAGGTTTCAGGGAAAGTTCTGTTACCTATCATAATTCCAGATGTTCTAGAGGTGCTTGGTACTCTAAACAGTACAATCTCACTAGATTCAGTGCCACTTGCCTCAGTGAGTCCTGCAGGCTCTGCCTTTACATGTATTTCCTTTTTGTCAGTTCTGAATTGACCTCCTTTCAACTTCACTGTATTAAAGTGAGATAGGATAGGATATAGTTCATCT